ACACACACACACACACACACACACACACACACACACACACACACACACAGACATGTCGGACCATCAGACAACCTTTCATTCTGGTTCATCTACTTACAGAAAAACGGATGGACAAACAGACAGAAAGACAGACAGACGGACAAACAGAGAGACAGACAGACAAACAGACAAACAGACGGAGAGACATACAGACAAACAGACTGACTGACTGACAGACTGACTGACTAAATGACCAGACAAGGCGACAGACAGACAAACTGACTGACTGAATGACCAGACAAGGCGACAGACAGACAAACTGACAAATAGACAGTTTGACAGACAGACATACACACACACAGACACACACACAGACACACACATATGCACACACAGACACACACACACACACACACACACACACACAAACACACACAAACACACAAACATGTTGGACCATCAGACAACCTTTCATTCTGGTTCATCCACTTACAGACCAGACAGATAGACATACAGACAGACAAACAGGCGGACAGACAAACAGACAGACTGACAAACAGACAAACAGACGGAGAGACATACAGACAAACAGACTTAATGACTGACTAACTGACTGACTAAATGACCAGACAAGGCGGAGACAGACAAACTGACAAACAGACAGACGGACAGACAGACAGACAGACATACAAACCAGAGCAGACCGACAGACAGATGGAAAGACAGACAGACAGACACAAGAGACGGAGCAGACAGACCACAAAACTGCTTTGTGTTGTCCATGCATATCTTTGACCTATGCAAGACTGAATGACTGACTGAATGACTGACTTAATGAATGAATGAATGACCAGATAAGGCGCAGACAGACAAACTGACAAACAGACAGACGGAAAGACAGACAGACAGACAGACATACAAACCAGAGCATAGCGGCAGACAGATGGAAAGACAGACAGACAGCCACAACAGACGGAGCAGACAGACCACAAAACTGCTTTGTGTTGTCCATGCATATCTTTGACCTATGCAGGATTTCTTCCTGCGGTAGAGATTCGTCAATGCAACATAGATGATGTTCAACCATTCAACATTATTATTGTTCTTTCTTGTTTGAATAAGAGGGGAGGAAGCAGGATTCATAATGACCTTTTTTTTTCTCTCTCCCCTCATGTTTAAACATTTTTTTTTGCAATTGGACGCCATTGAACTTTCTGCCGAGTGAACACTCCGAAATTGGTCAGGACCGCAACACAGAACATACAGACAGACAGAGGGTGGGAAAGAGAGAAGCGCGTGCACACGTGGAAGAGAGAGAAGAGGGGTTCATGCTAACAAACCCAGCATATAAATTACAGGTCACTGGATGAAAGAATGTATAGCCAGAGAAAGGAAACAGCAAACACACTTAGTGTACACTCACATACGGATACTGTTATGGTTTGCGCACATGTCAACAACAACAGAACAAACAGACAATGGGACCTCCACCAAGCCCGTGGCAAGAAAAGCAACGACAACAACCCCTAATTCAACGAGTGGCGTACTTGTACCCAACTTTCGTAGACGTACAACGCACCACGCACCTACAGACCTACACAACCGTCCAAACGACAAACATCTACGAGCGCATTTTGGTAAAGATCCAAAGTACATGTATTCACATGGAAACCTACTGTAAGTGGACCGAAGACTACGACACACATTAGATAGACATCCGGGTGCCAACGAGTCTTCAAAAGGAAGGAAACGGAAAACAAGTACAAGGCCGAAAGACCCGGGACTACGAAAGTCGAGGCAACTGACAACAGGTTCCGCTGTTGGAGCCCACCGAAAGGCCGATCATTCGGAAAGAAAGAAAGAAAGAAAGACTTGAAGAATGGAAGAAGAAGAAAATGAAAATGAAAAAAAAAAA